AAGACCTTAAACCTTAAAAAAGAAGGTTTAAGACGAAGAATTCTTACTAAACATATTTGACTACTACACTCGATACAATGTTGGGTTATGGTTCTGCTAAGTCATTTATTGTACTATAAATCTTCTTCCCATTTCCTTTCATCAAATTAAAAATCTCACTCCCCTCACTGCTTATGCCTTGTGAAGAGAGAAATATATTTGCAATTCCTTAGGTGCCTATGCCATAATATAATAAGAAAAAATGTTCCAAATTAATAGTTGCAATATCATAAAGTGATTATATTTTATGCAGTGGAGGGACTAACTAATTATACGTGAATGGGCACTTTGAAAGTGCTTAACCAACGTTTGTTGAGTAAGCAAAAATATTTTCTAATTGGTTGAATCATTAGGGTTACTTATATATATTTTGTTTTTGATGAATGATTTTTCTCATGTCAACAAGTAAAATTGCATAAATGAAATGAAAGTAAAATAATCTGGCATGGGATTTGAATCAATCGGGTTATCTCAGATCAGAGATCAGTACGTCTTCGAAACAACAATCATTCAAATAAATTTAGAAAATCTATTTGTGCAATAGGTCTATTTCAAGAAATGTTACATATGTGCGGAAAATTTTCATTTAGGTTGAATTAAGGTTAAAACTTAAAATAATATAAATAATGTATTAATATTCTTGCCATAAAATCGTTTAATATATTCCATATTGTTAAAATCCATATTGCAAATTGATTTTTTTTAAGAAATATAAAACTTATACTTATGAGATGGAATGAAAATGTGTAATATGCAAAGTCCTTTATTTAAATAGCAAAATATAGTAGTAACTATTTCGTTAAGCTGCAAATCTTTACCTTATTCATTACTCTAGAAACGGACTAGGATGGTTATGCCACACTTAAGGTTTCGAAATGTTTCTGTGTCCTTCTTAAGAGACATATTCAGGAATCATTCGAAAAGGTAAACAGATCAGTCATAATATCTATCACTCTTCGAACGTTAAAAGATGGACTGTATCCATTACTTTACTCATAAATAATCCTTTTGCTCAAATTGTACCTCCTTGACAATCAAATGGTCCCCCCTTGATAATCAAATTGCCCCTGTGTTAGCGTATGTCATGCTCTGTTCTAGCATACGAAAGTCAAGTCAAACAGTGAAAGTTCAAATCCTTCCATTCTCTTAAATGTACGAAAATGATTACACAGCTATATAATTCATAAGTAGGCAGTAGAACTCGTGAACAACCACTCAATTCAAAATGTATTATAACGGATAAAAACCTTTTCAGACCCACTCCGGTCACACACCGGTTTTAACATAATTTAACCGGATTTGTAAAATTTTTTGTAGTAATGTTTAATATAAAATAAATTTATTTGCTTTTTTAATTAATTAATATGTTAAATTAAAATAAATAAAAAAAACTGTTTTATTTTTTTTTAATTTTAATAAAATTTTTTTAGATAATTATGGCAATCATTTCAAAAACTAAACTGATAAGTTCTACTTTTAGTAAGAATCAAACATTAAAAATAATAAATGGAGTATTTTTTAAAATTTCCGCATAAAAACAATAGTAAAATATTGTTAAATATCAACAGACTTTGAACAATTTTAGTTAACTTAAATTCAAATTCAATATCTTTCTAAAGTCGTAGCACATAATCTATCGATTTCAGCTATAACAGGAAACTCAATAACTGCGTTTCGAGTTTTTAATATATCTTGAGATATCTGACTTGTAATATGTCCATTTGAAAATGTGTCTAATATGCTAATTGTCAAAACCCCATGGGTTCATAACTGCTAGGAAAAAAATTTCAGATTTTTTCAGAGATAAAATTCTTTTTGTTTTAGCACATGAAGAAGCACATAAAGAAATTTTAGCAAAATCGGGGAGATAATTTTTTTCTAAAATCCTTTAGATTTTTAAAAGAATGACTCATATATGGACATTGAAACGGCGCGTGTATATTAACCTGTAGATATTATATCATGTCTATTATATAAACTGTGTCGAAAGACACAACGACATAATCCATTATGCTTATATGCGTGTACGTGGTTGTACCTTTACAGAAAAAATATTTCCTTGTAAATTTATGGTAAGATATAAAAGTAATAAAATAGTAGTAGAAGTACGAAATTAACAATTATAATATGATTTTCAGCATTGAATGTCTTTTGGAGACATCCAAAAAGAGTTTAAAATTGTCACGCCTTTCCGTCATATGACTGTTTATATAACATGACTATTGGTCATGCTAACAACTAACCATATTCACTTTGTTTAGAGGACGATTACTCCATGGAAGGATTCTGTGCTATTTTGCTCTTAGTTTCGAGACCGGGACTTGAAATTTAATATTTTTAAGTCAGACGTTGTAGTTACCATTAACATCAGTTCCTAGCTCTTCCATATGTTCCCCTTTTCCTCAAAATAATCTGAAAATTTTTTTAAAATATTGCATTCATGGTAACATACAATGGATCTATTTTTCTATGTGACTTATCGTTTTGATTGCCTAAGTATATAAAAGTGTTTAAAATTGACATAATTTATTTAATATAATTTGGGTTAATTGAAATAATTTGACACTAATTTATGTTCGGACAATATGGTAAAGTATAGTCTTCTTCTTCTTTTTTGCTTGATTAATTGCGAGTTAGTGAAAACTTACATGATCCACTGTAATAAGAGCTCTATTGAATTCTGATGATATAGAATATATATAGAGGTTTTAAAGAGGTATAGTTTGCAATCCACCATATGCTCCTGTTGGAATATATATTGCATTTAATTTAAAAGCGTGCAATACTGAATTAGTGTGAGCATCCACAGAATGAAACTTAATTTAGGAACACTTAAATCAATAGATGTTTCCAAGGAATGTGATAAATTTTTTGGCAGTGTGTGGTCGTTTTTTATTCAAAAAAATATATAATTTCTAATGACACGAACAATAACAAACAAAAATATTTCCATAGTCCATGATTGATGGATATTTTAAAACAGCTTTATAATTTATTTTTTAAAAAATTACATTAAGTATAAATTTTTAATAATTTGTTTTAATGATCAAAAAATTTTTTTTAAAAATATTTTTGTATTTTGTGGGCTAATTGGTCAGTAGTTAAATAATAAACTTTTTAAAATATATTCATTTGTTTTTAAAAGATTTTATTTTTACCGCTATTTCGACTATAATCTATAGTCATCATCAAGGTATTATAAAATTTATATACAATGTAACAATATTTTAGGGCAAATCACGAAGAAACAGTTATAAAATACATCGAAACATCAATTATATGTATGTATATAGAAAATATTTATTGAAAATGTCTAGACAATCGGTATAAAGACAACATATATAGGAAAGATATATACCATTTGATTAAAAAAGAACGAGAAGTTAAAAAAATACGCAAAATTTTAATTTTTAATAATTTTCTTTATTATCGCCTTCAAAGTACTCTCCTCCTGCGGCAATACATGCATGCCAACGCTTGATCCAATTTTCCATACAAGTATTATAGGCCGCCGAAGGTATGGCCGTTAGTTCACGCAGCGAATTCTCTTTTATGGTCTCAAAACGCGTTTCTCGCAATGGCAATTTGAGTCGAGGGAAGATGAAAAAGGCACAGGGGGCTATATCTAGAGAGTACGGTGCTTGAGTGATTATATTGATGAAGTTTTTGACCAAAAACTGCGACACAATCAACGCTGTGTGAGCTGGTGCGTTATCGTGGTGTAAAATCCATGAGTTTTCCTTCCATAAATCTGGACTCTTTTTGCGAATGGCCTCACGCAACGCATAACAGCAAAATAATTCTCCTTATTGACCGTTTGACCGTCCGGAATGAATTCATAGTGCACGACACCATGAATATCGAAGAAAAAAGTCAGCATAACCTTGATTTTGGACCGACTTTGGCGTTTTCTTTTTTGTTTCGGCTCACCTTCGAAGCACCATTCGGTCGATTGTTGTTTGGTGGGCATCCTCTTCCGGATTTGTTGAAGGTATTTTTATACACCTGAGCACAGTGTTGTATGTCAGTTTTAAAGTTGAGACTGGTGTCAGTAGGAGTTTGGAGGATGTATAACATTTCTAAGAAAAAGCGTTGTTGCTGATTATTTTCTTAGTGAAACACCTTTACATTATCGAGGTCCTGCTAAGGCTTTGATGTAATACAGTGTGATGCCAGTGCTGTTTTTGACTGAAAATATTTTTTATAGTTCACACTGTGTTTATTCCGGCTATACGCGTCTTTAACTTGTTCTTTGTTGTACCAAAATATAAATTTTATAAATTTTTAAAATCACAAAAGAAAGAGTGGTCTATTTTCAATATTTACTGAAACACACGGTATTGAATATATACGTATATACGTATATCAATCAAACTTTCACCTAAAAAACTCTAAGTATGTCAATATTAATACAATTATCGAAAACCTTTTAAAAGCAACAAATGTAAACCATGACAAATTTCCGGACCCATTTTAGTGTACAAAGGTATTAAGCTCCTATTAAAAGATATGTGCCTGAATTAAATTGTTCAAATTAACCTTTTTATTTTTTGCGTTTTCTATCTTGATAAATCTTGAATAGATTATGTGCTCCGATCAAATTTCTCTTTCCATATTAACCCTCATTGATACAAAACAACCCGTAATCAAAATTATATGCAATAATATGTTTTAAAATTTATATTAAAAAATAATCCACTAAATGTTGCTGGAAGGCTTGATTTTTAACGAATAAAAGTCAATCAGTATTTAAAGTTAATTTTTTAACATTACTGAGCAAACACTTAGTAACTTAAAATGAAGCTTGAAAAAATACAATTAAAACAAAACACACAGATGCAAGATAGATAAAGTATATAAGCTAATAATAACTAAGACTTAGAAAAGAAACCAGATCAAATGTAAAAATAATTAATATTTCAAATTTTTTTAAGTAAAAGTTTAATTTTTTTATACTTCGACAAAAATTCTATATTTTTCACTTCACTTAAGCAGTCTTCTCCGTGAAAAAAATATTATCACAGTTTTCTTCAACATAGTCCCATAGTCACGACGATTTGACTTACACAGTTTACTAGCAGTTAGCCATTTATATTACTTGGCTTTTGCTCAATGAGACTTAATTCTTGTGGCTTTGGTAAAGGATCATTCCATGGTTGTACGTTGGCTGTACCAAACGATATGAACAGTAAATTACCAACGAAATAGATGCCAGCTGCTATGAAAAATACTTGATTCCACTGCTCCGCACTTGTCTACGTACAAAAACCGTGTATATTAGTAAATGGTATATAAAAAATATTTTAAGAACTTACCACGTCCGTTACAATGAAGCCCACTGCTAAAGGTGCAATAATTCCTGTTATATTTGCCGCACAGTTGGTAATACCCATCAAGACTCCAGCGAAGTTGGGAGATAAATCAATATGATTTATTTGAAAGCCTAAGGTTACAGCTGAATTAATGCCTACCGTTATAGTGAGGAGCAAAATTGCCAAGGTTGTTTGTCCAGGTTCAACATAACAAAGGCAAATGAGCGTTACCATTGGGACCCAATGACCAATTGTATTAAAAATCTTTCGACTTAGCGTGAGAGGTATGCACTTCCGTTTACTTAGCACTGTCGAAATGATAGCAAATACAATACCTAATATCAGCATTACTGTATAAGGTAATGCTGACAGTAAAGCATTGCTTTTGATATTCATGTTAAGCACGTGTTTTAAATATGAAGGAATTTCGATTAATAACGTCCAGAAACCCCAATTATGCGCACAGTGTACACAGAAGAGCACCCAAAATGGTACAGAGGTAAATATACGTTTCCAAGGTATTTTCATGTTTTGCGCCGATTCTTCATTTGTATGTCCAATAGAACTTTCTATAAGATGCTTTTCGGATGCTGAAATTGTTTTAAAATCACTTGGTGTGCTTGCACCCCACTTAACCCATACAACTACCCATAAAAGGCCTACAAACCCTGATATATAAAATATGCTCGGCCAACCATAGGAAGATGATATCATAATTCCGCTTGTCGCTAACATGACGACAGTACCGAATTGACTACCAACATACGAGAAGGTGCCAAGTAAACCACGCTCCTCCAATGGCGCCCATTGGGATAATATTGTGTGCACGGATGGAAAAAATACGCCTTGACTGAGTCCTTGCAATAACCTAGAAGCACACAATAACTGCCAGTTGCCAATTTTTGCTGTCACTGGTGTTAATATTGTTAGCACCGAAGAAATAAGTACTCCATAAAGTAACATCGCTTTTCCTCCAAATTTACGAGCTAAGTAACCACCAGGAACTTGTGTGCCAACGTAGCCCCAGAAAAAACTGCTTAACACAACAGATTTTGTTTTTTCAGACCAATTATAAACCTATAAAATGAAATCACAAAATTATTCCATCGAAAAGTTGTCATAGAGATATTTCAAACGAACAGGTATACCAGGAGTTGTCGAAGTTGTATCCAGCATTGCTACGATCGCCATTGATAAATTCACGCGCATTGCAAACGCCACCGACGTCCCAAGGAAGAGCAAGAAACATTGAAGATGTCGCACTCCCAATAACCGAACTAAATGCAATAAATGGAAAAAACCATAGAAATTAAATGAAAATATAAATAAAAAAAAATAATAATCAAAATAATATTTTTATTACAGTCGAAATTTTTAATCTTACCGGAGCCGCTGGGCTCATATCTGCGATTTTTTGCCATTTACTCAAAACTTATTCAACACAAATGCACTAACCTCTTCACAGTGGAAGTCTTCGAACTAGTCTGACAAAACTCTTATCAAAAGTAAAATATTTTAAGTATTTTGGTGGGTAGACTTTTCGAAATTTAAACTTAGATAAGACACACTTGCGGGCAGCGCAATGAAAGGCGGAATACACCCTGTACATAACGCATGCAAACGGTCTATTGACTTTGCCGTTATATTTGAAAAGTTGTGAATGGGCGTTTCTTGAACATAGAATCATATCGGTCAACTCAAAGGTGTGAGTCAATTAGATTATATTTGTCAATAGGTGTTTTTTACTTATCATAGGAAATCCTTAAAACAATAGGAAATCCCTATTTGTCAATAGGTGTCTTTTACTTTTCATAGGAAATCCTTAAAACAGTTATTTCCAAATGTGCTATGTGTTTACCGACTAAACCAATATTCCCGAGACTACTACTATTCTGTTGTTTCACTACCACCATTAAATTAAATATCCCTTTGTGAAGCAGATAAGACTTTAAGATCTACTCATAGTTCCTTATTTGATATTGGTCTAGTGTTTCTCATATTGATTCAGATTGTTCATTGCCTCGCAGCCGTTGTATAATACTTGTTATTATGTTGTATACGGTCCCTCAGTTCGATAAGTTACTAATTATATATTTGGAAAAACTATTGTCTTGACAAAACACACAGTATGGATCAATGACACGGTTACACATATACTTCTCCAGCTATAATTCATAGATAAATACTGCTTATTTTTTGGGTCTGTATGTCTGTAATAGGAGTATCCCATTTGTATTGCTTTTTAGCTGAATTTCTATTTTTCTCTCTCTATTTAATTTAGTGATCTATGTTACTTTGGCCGGGGTATCAATTGGTTTGCTAGTAGTGATTCGTTTATAAAGATTTATTCACAGCTTCTCATTAAAACAAATATTTACTGTGGACAAAATATTGATAGAAATGGCTCACATAAATTATTTCTTCAGGATCAACAATATAAAATAATTCCTTGCTGTTAACAGTGATATCTTTTATCCATTAACCTGGCAAGATTAAGTAGTACTCGAACGTATTGAAAATTATGCTAAAACTGGACTTCATCAGCTGAAATTAATTTTAATATAGTTGACACTGATGGCTAAAATTTGACATAAATTTCATGATATAATGTTTGTTATGCGAAAAGAGAAGAGTACCTTATATAAATAACACCCCAGAAAGGTAATCATTTCGGTATAAATTTAGTAAAGTTTTGTTGTAAAAATGACCAGATTCCTGTCATTAACTCTAGAGAAGTTAATAAGAGATCTACAGATCAAGATCTTATGGTGTCACCAAGACCAAATTGGTAGAGTATATTTTGCTAAATTATAAAATATTTATGCTTAGATCTTTTTAGAATTCATTTATTTAGACATTTAAGTGACTTAGATGTTTATTTAGTTGTCCATTACAAACGTGAGTCAGCCAACCCGATTAGTGGCTTTTGTTGATAGTGCCGATTAGTGGCCCGATTAGTGGCCCGATTGTTGTCGCCAGTTGATAGTGCCGAGCGTCCCATATCATTGGTCATCCCGTATTACCACTGAAGATGCGGATATTCTCTATTGTGTTTTCCATCTGCGAGCATTTTCTTTCATTCGCACGACATAATTAAGCCAGTGATGCCGGTGAACTTTTATCCACTTAACTATCTCAATGCCGGAGTATGATTCATACAGCATATATACGCGACATATGCTGTACAGCAAAGGGAAGAAAGGTAAGAATGACAAACAACTGTTTTGGTGGCCCAGTAAAAAGACTAGTCTAACAGTAGAGAATAAAGTTAATATTTATAAAGCAATGATGGAAGGAATAGTAACTCATACCAACTGTAAATTACTGAAGGTACTTCGATACAGAGTCAGCACAATAGCAGCAGAAAAACACTATGCTTTTTTTACCAATGTACCCTGGTAATATATAAAATGTACTCATAAATATGACTATCAAGTTCTGACAAGAGCTAAGTAAGGACTATTTGTAGACCTTGCCAATAAAAACCACAAACGAATGGCAAGCAAGGATAGTCCACCATTGGAAGCACTAACTCTAGTTTATAACCACGAACTAAAGCCATGAAGTCCACTTTATAACTAAAAGAAAAATATGATACCCCTTGAAGTCAATATGTATTTGCTTATGGATATGTCATATATATTAATTGAAGGCCTTCCCATACAAAACAAGACACACTAAGGTCTTCAGAAGTAGAATTTTTATGGAAAAAAAATTATAAGCCATGTAACATAATTACTAATATTAACAAATTTCTTTACCGATTGATGGACAAAGTTTCTTGAGTATGAAGGGTATTTCAGCTTCGATAAAACTAAAGAAAAATGTTAAATTTTTCACTTGAAAAAAAATTTCAAGTACAAATGTATTGGTGGTGAGAAACTAGAACGCACGCCTTGTTAAATAGGTGCTTCGGATAAATTGTGGACAGGAGGTGTTAAATTGGAGATAATATAATTTCTGTTATCATCTTTGATTATCGCCCACCTTCATTTATGCTTATTATAAAATACGGAAGAGTAGCTTTCATTACAGCGCTGCATTTCAACTACGGGTGTATGCACTTTATTTATGGTCGATAGATAACGAAGTGATTATTTGAATAAGATAAACGTACAAGTGTGAATTTCATATATATCACAAAATAATCTATTGAAAACTTAACACTTAAAGCAAATACGACGGATAATATTGTAGAGTATGTTTTGACACACTCAAGTGTGGGTTAATTTATAACATATATATCGTAATTAATAAAAAAGTAATTGTTAATTCAGTGATGTAGGAATAGAACTTTCTCCACTAAAATTTTTCTATATATCGTGGTTAATATGTCTTAGAACTCTTTAAGAGTTCAACAAGTTGGTATAAAAAATCGTCATTAATTTGAAATCTCGCATTTTAACTGAAATATAAGATGTTAATACTGAATTTCCTATTAATAAAGACTGACACTAACTCTTATAAACTCACCCTACTATATAGATGGCCTACGAAGGAAGTTAAGATCACTACACCGAGCTTAAATATATGACTATCTTGGTTAGTACTCAAGATAGATTTAGTTAAGTATTAAAATATGGACTGACTCATGTCATTGAGTTGATTAGTCTTATAATGCTGATTGTTAGTATATAAGGCTGATATAATCTCCGATACTAATAGCTTCCTCATTTCAATACATAAAGTTCAATAGATTTCAAAAAAATTTTTCATGGTGGAATACAATGAAATATATATAACTGGAACTAATAGAGTATAACAAAGTCTTTAAAATGGTACTTCAAGTTTGACTGTATTTCCATCATATAAACTCTGTTTCAGATTCGATGACATGCTTATTTTGACCTTTTGTTTTTGTTTATTTAAAATAGTTACCATTTAAATAATCAGAGGTGGATTTATTATATATATCATCCGTATTTTCACTCTTTTATTGGTAAAAACGTTTCTGATGAATAAGAGGTATCGAAAAAAATTTATTTCATCGTTAATTTTTATTCGAGGAATTATCAAAAGCAATACAGACCCAAATTTACTGATAATTTCTACAGAATGGTAATGTTAAAAAACCTGTATGATTGGAGAATAAAATAACCATAAAGTGCAAACTATACTGAAAACTACGGGCAGAGATGACTATCGCCGATTGGATACTTGCCGTTCTAGTTGGATGAATATTTTAGAAAAACCTTTAGTTGACAAAAGAGCACAATTTAGGTTTAGTACTGACTGAGTAATTTAAATCTGAATTAGTGGCTATATGCTGACCGAGGTATATATGTGCCTATATGAATTGATTAACATTACATACAATGACTTTGAAATTGATTTAATTTAATAAAAATTACACTTAAAAGAATTATGTTCTAAACATATTTTTATCTACTTTTACTAAATCTTTTTAATGGCTGTAATAAAAAAAAAATATAATCTATGTCATTGAAACTCACAAATTTAATTATAATGGTGTTTAAAATTTCTTTTTTGTTTTTTCATGAAATTTACTTACAGATGGCATTCATAAAATACCTCCAAAATTAATAGACATCAATGTTTGTTTTTTTGCAGATTTTTTTCACCTTTTATTTTCTTGACATTTTTTTATATTTCAATTAAAAAATGATACCTAGATTTGTAAAAGTTTTATGTTAATATATAAAAATTAACATGAAATATTAACATATATTAACATATTAACATATTTCATGCGGGACTGACTAAAATCATCGGTAGCTTCTTGCATGAAAGGTACTTGAGTACTAAAATCAACACCACTCTTTTGTTCACCCGAACAATAGAAGCAGGTGTACCTCAAGAGTCGCCAATGTCACTTACATTGTTTAATATATAAACGCAGACGTCCCCACATTAAGCCCAGTGTCAATGGCGCTATACACAGACGACACGTGATTGATCTACTCTGACCGGGATGCCATAAATGTAATCAACACCTTACAGGGAAATATAAACCACATGGTGGAATACTTTCAGAAATGGAAGATTAAAATTAACAATGACAAAACCAATGCTATATTCATAACTCGTAAGAGAAGGCAGCATTCTCCAATAGTGAGCGTCGTTGACATGGAGATACGGTGGGAGGAAAACATAAAGTATCTGGAAGTCACATTTGACAAACAGCTCAATTGGTATAAACGTGTGAAAGGCAAATGGAAAAGCTGTTCTAAAATTTTATATCCTCTAAAGCCGCTATTTAATAATAATCACTTTAACCTCAGAAATAGAAAGTTATAGTAACTTTATATATAATAGTAATAATAGTAACTCAAATAATTTGGCCAGCATTACTGTACATATGTGTTACATACAGCAAAACCTCAAATACAGATACAGATAGCACAAAACCTGGTAAGAAGACTATTTTTGATTCCATGGTATATTAGAACAACAGACATGCTCAGAGATCTAAGGATCGAATCAATAAAAAAAATATATCAAGGACAGAGCCCTAAATTATTTACAAAAGTTGATATACTGCGCAACAAACCTCAAGTCCACCTCAGGACCCACAGGAAGATATGCTGACCTACGATCCAGCATCAGTTAAACGATATATAAACAATATGAATTCCAGTATAGTTAAAGCGTTGTGTGGGGCAGGGATAAGTCCCCAACCCCCAAAAAAGAGTATGATGAGGTATTTTTTTAAAGTCATTATCGTTTTAATGATGTATAAGTTCACTTTTTACTTCACTGCATGGATTTTTCCCCAACAAACCTATACATATCTTTACAACTACATTGGGTACTTTTTTAAGATTCATCAGAATCGAGAAAAAAAACTATTTATTAATAACTAGATTTACTAGATTATTAGATTATTATTTAGAACTAGATTATTAGATAACGAGATTTAAGATTAAGCAATCTTAGTCATTTAAGTAAGCTGCGAATATCACAAACCAATGCAGGAAAGACAAAATATGGCCTAAAAAATTAGATCCAGGGTGTCAGTGCTGTTACCTGATTGTCGCTCACATACTTGATATCTTTCGAATATTTTTTGTATAAATATGAGATTACCGATATTTTAGTTAAGTATTTAAGTGCCAATTTCATAGTGATAACTTAAGTCTCAAATTAACTTAACTTTTTATCTCAATTATCAGATTAGTACTTCATTCAATTTAATTGTTAATTGCAAACAAAATAATTCTAAAAAAAATAATCTTAAATCTTTTCAATCTAATCTAATCAAAGTGTTCACAAAACAATACTTAAATAAATATATTTTTAATAGTAAAAAAAAACCAATCACACAAAATTAAGTAGAACATCTCAGCTTAGAACTCAATCTTATTAACAGCGAGAATGTATATATATAGGTAGGTTTTGTATTGAAATGTTCAATCTTACCGGTACTTTTCTTCATTTTCTTTGATTCCATTCCTAATTGTATTCTAATTTTCTTGTTTTTCGCTACATTCGAGTAGAGTTGAGGCTTATTTTAAGCGGGTATTACACATCATACTTGGTACTAGGACTTGGTGCGTTGAAATGGAAATTTGTGTCAAGTCTCAGGTGTAATAGCAATATTAGCAGGAATGACGAGCAGACTGATGGAAATCAAATCGGATTTATACAATCGGATTTTAGTCGGCTTACATGCCAATTTCATTTTAACTTTACATACACCATTCAAGTTGATAATGCGAAATAATAATAAGAAGGTTAATTAGCTTCAATCAAACTGAAGCACTAGTGACAATTATAATGATAATACGCTCTTTCAATGAAGAGCATAATGTCAACTAATGAAGCTTAACTAATACCAAATGGTGATAAAAACTCCTAGTTCAGTAATCTCTTCTGGGTATAGATCATAGCCAGACAGTCAAAAAAAAGTGACTACAAGTCTTATATGCTTCTAAATAGACGCAACATATTTTCTCTTCAGCTAGACCCAACTTGTTGTCAATGAACTTAGCTTCATTTTACTGTGGCGGTATGCTTTACCATATATATAACGACTATCCCGCTCTTTAGCTAGGCGGTTTTCGGAAGAGACGGGCGAGTTGCGAATTTTTTCAATTACAAATCACTTTTCTATTAGAGTTTCAATGGTAGACATAGTAAGCTATTTATTTTAAATGAATTATTAAAAATTACAACTTAGTAAGATAACGAAGGGTATCTAAGAGGTAGCATAGATGTGTGAAGAGTACTTAAGTAAGTTAGTAAGTTTCATTTACATATAGTACTGAAAATATTTTCAATGTCTAATTTTATTACGCTAGAGATAATGTTAAGGATTTTGCGTTTTAACATCAACTGTCTGTGTTCTTTTTTTAACTGTTAATCGTAGCGTAAATTTCTCTTTATGATTATTTATTTATTTTACTTTTCTTGTACTTAATTTAGTTAAGATTCCGTTACATATCACGATAACGCACTGCACTGGTAGCTAAAGAATTTCACAAAACACTTTTTACTTGCATTAGACACTAGGCATTTTAGAACTGTGATAAAATAGTATTTGTATTTTAATAAATTACAGAAGCATCTTGACTATGACGCTGGGAAAAAACGTAATGGAAAATTATAAGTCGTCAAGAAATGTTTGCAAAGTACTTATCTCCAATGGATTGCCACATATGCATAAACCACATCACACCGGTAATAATCACACATCGGCTGTAGTTGAAATTTTTCTTATTTTTATTCCATTCCCGTATTTACAAAACCAACTTTACACAGCGGAAATATTTATTTTATATTAAAAATTATAAGCACACTTAGCCTCCCTCTGATATATTCACACTGAAATTCTATATTCTGAGAAGAAATTTTACTCAGTCCTTATCTTTAGTATCTTTAGCGATTAAGGCGTTTCTGTTCTTAGTGCATTGAAGTTGTTGAATTTATTTATAAATTAATTCAGTTTTGATTACATTTTTATAATTAAATTAATATTATTTTTATAATAATAACGTAATAGCCTACTGACCGAGTGCCCACAAAATGTTGAATGTGATGGTGTAATCGTAAGGAAGTAATTTAGTAGCAGTGAATATCCTTTTGTTAATAATTTTTACGATATTGAAATAAAGTAGGCTCTTAATTAAATAAATAGCTGATATAATGAATCCTATAAATAAAGAACTTCATTGTGCTACGTATTAACAACCAAATAATTTATTTTTGATGATTGCTTTATATAAACAATTGTCTTGAGTTCATCATCTACTGGAGACTGTCATCTTAACTATAATGTATATAAAAGAACAGCTTTCATCACGATTTTAAAATAGGTTATCATTATCTTATACCATACGTAAAGCAGGAAGAGAATTCGTTCTTCTATCCACTTCAACTAACTAACTATATAGAGCAGTGTTTCTCAACTCAAATATATCGTAACAGATTGAAAAAATATTCATTCAGTTTTCGGAAGACCAGTAGCAATATCCTCTACAGTCTAGCTTTGGGGTTACTCATTTATAGAGAACCTAAATATTATTGATAATATAAATATGTCGAAATCATATGAATAAAATTTATATTGATTTTGTACCTATAAAATACATTATATTATTATATATAAATTATATAAATAAACTATATTAGGATTAATATAAATTATTGTAAACATAACAATAATAAAATAATGACTGATTTCCATAATACTAAAAATAAATCACACAAAAACTTGGATATATCCACAAAAAAGGATATATAGACATACATACATAATATCTATAAGTAACATTTTTGCAAATTTGGATTATTATTATTATTAATAAATAATACTTAAGTTTCACTGTAGTTCAACATTGTTATTGTTGTTTTTTTTCAGATCTTGAGATGTAGAAAGATCATTCCATATTTGTATATTTGTTTTGCCGAAAATTATAAACAATAAATTGCCAATGAAATAAAGGAAAGCGGCAATGAAAAATACTATGGACCACTGCACTGGATTTTTCTACAATACAAATTTTATTAAAACATTAAAAAAAAAAAAATTAAAATTAATTTCAAACTAACCTCATCAGTTACAATGAATCCCACAGCCAATGGAGCTAGGAAACTCATTATATTGGCTGCACAATTGGTGATTCCCATTAAAACGCCTGCAAAATTAGGTGACAAATCGATATGATTGACCTTAAAACCCAAAAAGGTAGCCGAATTAACGCCAACAGTAATTGTAAGCAAGACAACCGCCAGAGAAGTTTGTCCTGGTTTAAGATAACCTAAACAAATCAAAGTGACTACAGGTACCCACTGACCAATAGTGTTGAAAAGTTTTCGATTCACTGACGTTGAAATATATTTGCGTTTTCCGCAGATCATAGCAATAATTCCGAAAACATAGCTGAGCAACATCATCACCAGATACGGCAGTGCTGATAAAAGTGCATTGCTCTTAATATTCATGCCAAGTACATTTTTCATATATGTTGGTATCTCAATCAATAATGTCCAAAAGCCCCAGTTGTGTGTGCAATGCACCAAACAGAGTACCAAAAATGGTAAAGATGTAAATATTTTACTCCATGGAATGGGAAGCAATTTTTTTGGTTCATCTTCATTTCTACCCAATGAACTTTCAATCAAGTTTTTCTCCTCAGCACTTATTGATTTGCATTCGCTAGGCGTACTGGCACCCCATATATACCATATAAATACCCATACTATGCCTGCAGCGCCCGACGCATAAAATATACAAGGCCACCCATAATCTGATGATGCCATAATACCACTCACTGCAAGCATTACAACTGTGCCAAACTGACTACCAGAATAACAGATGGCACCTAAAAGTCCACGTTCTTCCAACGGTGCCCATTGAGATATGATTGTATGTGTTGATGGAAAAAACACTCCTTGACTAAGGCCCTGAAAGAAACGTGATGCGCACACTAATTGCCAATTTCCGATCTTAGCAGCCATAGGTGTTAATATTGTAAGTATTGAGGCCATGAGCAAACCATAAACCAGCATGGTTTTACCGCCGAACTTTCGCGCCAATTGACCTGATGGTACTTGCGTGAATACGTAACCCCAGAAAAAACTACTTAAAAGCATAGATTTCGTTTTTTCCGTCCATTGATATGTCTGCAATATAGAAAAAAATTTAATTAAGTTTAGTAGACGATTTACAACATTTATTTTTACAATTATTAAATAATATAAAAATATGTGAATATATGAGTAGTCACATTTTTATTTTTATGACTATAATAAACTGTTAATTACAATCCAATAAAATATATTAACTTACTTCCACTTCCGCTGCGCTTGTGGAGTTGTTATCGGTCATCGCCACAATTGCCATTGAAAAATTTACTCGCATGGCGAATGCAACAGCAAGACCTGTGAATAGCAGAAGACATTGCAGGTGCCTTACGCCTAGAATAGGTGCTGAAATATTTAGATTAGAATTTAGAGGAAAATTTTATTTTTTTGTGACTTTTGTTGTATGTCACCTTTTGTTTCATCTTCGAAGCGTCGATTTTTCAGCATCTTGTGTCTTTGATCTTTCAACACAGATGTCGAATGCAAGGTCTTATCAGAAATCGCTCAGGAGACAGAATACATTAAAGTATGCCTGGCGAGACTTTTTATTAATTTTTAAATGCTGATAACGTACTTCAAATGCTACAGATAGTACACTTATATAGTAACTTAAAATATTTTAATTTTATTTAAGGTATAATTTCATTTTTACGACATCTGTCGTAAACCGTTGACAGATACGCTGGCTAAAGTTTTCTTAATTGCAGTTTTATTCCATAACAAATAAAATAATTGTTGTATAATAATATATTTTTATTATTTCTTTATAAAGTAGCATATTTATTTATATGCACATAACATTTTTTTAAATTTACTATATAAACTTTAAACTTAAATCTATTTTTAACTAGGAAAGTTAAGTTTATGAAGTATAGCGGTTGTGAGAAAGCTATTTTAACTTCATGGCATATAATTATTTTAACTAATAAGTAAGTCTTATATTATAAATTCTTTTGTATATATGAATGAGTTTTTTCGGTATTCTGTAATTTTAAAACTTTATTTAAGATCCACCCAGTTTATCCAATTTCTTTTATTTTTACAGAAATTTAGTATCCGTAATTTAGTATCCGTAATTTAGTATCCGTAATTTAGTGTAGTAATTTAGTATCTTATTTGCAAGACAAAAAAGAAGTTGTTGAAGAGTCGAGTGCTCAATTACTCTCTCTGTGCTTTTTTATAAAAGCGTTTTTATTTTCTTAAACAAGAATAAATAATATAAATTATTAAATAATTGTTTTATAAATTTATACAATTTTCAAATACACATTATTAAATTGTATAAATTCTTTTATCAGCCCAAGATTTAGATTGGTGTTTTTGTTTTATTTGTAGTTTCATTTAACTGAATGGACTCTGGGTTATTCCATGTTTGCACAGTTGCCTTTCCGAACACTATAAACAGAAGATTTCCGATAAAGTAAAATATGGCTGCAATAAAAAATATTATCCGCCATTGACTAGGATTTGTCTGAAATAATACAAAAAATGTTATAGATTATTTTTAGTTTGATTTTAATTCGATTTCATATTAAGTTAAAAACTTTAGTTCACGTTTTAAGTATTTAGTCTAATCTTTTATAAACTTTTTTGTACATTTTAAATTTTTTTAATATAGATATATTACCGCGATTATAACATTACGCTTTATTAAGACTAGTTTAAACTTAAAAAGTAATAATGATAATAATTATATAGTGTTATCTAAACTTTATAAGTTATATTGCTGAAATCTTACCACATCTGTCACAATGAAGCCAACTGTTAATGGTGCCAGCAGACTCATTACATTCGCCGCTAGGTTTGTAATACCCATCATAACACCGGCATAGTTGGGTGATAAATCCATATGATTGACTTGAAAACCATGGAATGTGGCTGCAAATAGACCAACTGTAATCGTAAGTAGCGTTACAGCCAAATTGATATTATCAGCGCCTATATAGCCTAGCATAAATAATGTGATCATTGGTATCCAAAAACCTATCGTATTGAACACTTTCCGACTTGTGGGTATCGTTAAACATTTATATTTGTTTAGTAATTTTGATATACCAGAAAATACAAATCCCAAAAAGAACATAACAGTATATGGCAGTGCTGATAACAGTGCATTACTTTTAATATCCATTCCCAACATATTTTTCAAGTATGAAGGAATTTCAATGAGCAATGTCCAGAATCCCCAATTAGCCGAACAATGCACAATAAATAACATCCAAAAAGGTACCGACGTGAATATACTTAGCCATGGTATATTTTTTATTCCTTTTGGTTGATTTTCTTTAGAGCCTATTGAAGTTTCTATTAATTCCTTTTCCTCTGCCGTTATAGACTTCGATTCTTTCGGTGTGCTGGCGCCCCATATATAATATACCACAACCCAAAGTAGTGAAATAAAACCTGGAATGTAAAATACGCTTGGCCAGCCGTACTTTGAAATTAGGACTCCGCTGGTGGATAACATTACGACTGTGCCAAATTGACTGCCAGAGTAAGATAATGTACCTAAAAGGCCTCGTTCTTCCAAAGGTGCCCACTGCGATAATATAGTGTGACACGTGGGAAATATTACGCCTTGTGAAATTCCTTGCACAATACGTGAAACACATAGTGCCTGCCAATTTCCTATTTTGACTATCCAAGGTGTTAATAAGGTAAGTATTGAGGAGATGAAGATTCCATACAAAAGCATATTCTTGCCACCAAATTTACGTGCAAGTAGTCCGGCCGGGAACTGTGTCAATATATAACCCCAAAAGAAACTGCTGAGAAGCACTGATTTTATTTTTTCATTCCAATCGTAGGTCTGTAAAAAATTAATATCCCTTATTTTTTATCTGGAATTTTATTGTGTACTTACTTTCTCACCCGCTCCTTCAAACTTCTCGTCGGTCATTGCAACTATTGAAATGGAGAGATTTACACGTGTGGCGAATGCCATTGAAACTGCACTGAATAATAGTAAGCATTGGATGTGTCTGACTCCGAGAAATGAAGCTTTCGAAGTAGAAGTCGATTAATAAGTTATTTAGTATCATTATAAGAATATTTAACTTACTCTCAACTTCACCTTCCAAGCGGCGATTCTTAGCCATTTTGTTGCAGTTCTGTGTCACTAACGCTCAATATATCTTCTGATTACATCTCACAGAAATTAAACACATTTTAGCTAAGTTGACTATCTTTTCAGGTGATAAGAATTTAACAGTTAGAACAGAAATTTGGATAATCTTGGTTAATTTATAGCGCAATGACATTGCATTAAGTGATATACTTAGCTCAGTGCTTGTATGTTGGGGGGTCATTGGTTTTGTAGTGCAAATAACTGGATACTTTCGGTATTGCATTATTTGTTAAGTGTTGTTTTTCGTTTGCTAACATATTAGATAAAAAGGATTCTTTTGAATTTATAAATTCATATATATGTAACATAAAATATTATAATCACGTTTTATAAAAGTGATATTTACACCTTAAATAACATACAGTATTTATTTATAATAAATGTACTGGTATATGTATATAATTTATGTGTACCTAAATTTAAATCTAAATGTGAAATTAACAATCTTAGTAACGCAATTAAAATATATTCTCATAATATCTGTAAGTTGGTAACATTGTACTGTATTAACGTACGAAATTTAAGCGCGATCTACACTTCAGTATGTTCACTGAAGTGTAGATCCATCGTTGCGCAAAAGTTTTTGGTAAAGAAATCAACGAAAGTAACCTTCTAAGCACCGTACTCATCTGAGATGGTCTCTTCTGACTTTCTCTTAACAAAAAAATCTAAGATAATCACATCAGGGTAAACGTTTCTAGTTCATTGTGGCCTTCAAATATATTTGTTAAAAGAGTTTAAAGCAACACCTCAATCAGCATATGAAGGTTGACTGTAACGTGGAGTCAAGCGCTGGAGTAATTCTTTCGGACTCGATGCTGCCTATTTCAAAGTTAACATAATTAATTTTGATGGATTGAATATTGAACAATTTCGATTACTTATTATACAATATAAATCTATGAAACATAGCTTTTAAATTTATAGAATGTATAAATTTGTATGTTTTGTATAAATCGTATATAGAACAAGCATATTCTATATAAAAAGTATCCGAAATTGTATAAAAAAACTTACTAAAAATATTCCATTCATAAAAATTTATTTCGTTATTTTTAAAAACAGTCCTCCACTTTCTAGATAAAATATGCTTATAAAATAAAGCTCATAAATCTATATTAATTATCATTTATTTAAGTAGTGACTCGTAGTAGCAGCAATTTCAACTAAGAACTGATTTAGTAGTATTTGAGAAGATACTAGAAAAATATTCAACACGATAATCATAATAAAAACATGCAGACCGGATTACAATTGGCAAGAGCCGATTCCTCTACTTCAAAGAAACTTTCTAGTATTGTTAATTCAATGTTTATCGGTTAATAATATATTCCAGATTTAAAAAAAAAGAGTACAAAATACCTTAGGGTAAATGCGGAGGATCTGAATTCAAAGATGATTTTTTGATTATTAATGCATAATATTAATAATAATTATAATGCGTATAATATCATTAATATTGATGTGTTTCTCAGTTAGTTAGTGATCGCAGTAGTGCCCAACTGCGATCAGTAGTGTTCGAAAAATTTAATAATGATGAAGAAGTTATTATATGATGAAGAAGTTACTATATGACGAAGAAGTGTTATTAAGCACTATTTTAAAAATACTATGAACACACCTTTTAGGAATCGTAAATGAAATGAAAATACGTGTACTCGTATTGGTTTGTATGTATTGTTTATATTATTAATTATTTAGAAACCAACAGAACTAGATATATTTCTAAATAATGTATTTAAAAATGAATGCAGTTATTCAAGCTGCGATAAACTGTGTAGAATAATTAACAAGAATAGCGCAGTTAGCTAAACTAGTCTATTTTTAATTAATAATCATCTAAACTTTTTCTCAACTAAAATAGCTAATGAATTGTTATATACCTTCGTTTTTGCAAAATAATTAATTTTTTTTTTATTTTTACAATTAGAAAAATAAAATATTGCATCACAACCTCAAAATGTATTGTGCCCTCAACATGGATGAAGAGTGATTCTAGACCTTTCTCTATAATAAATAATAGTATCTGCTTTATTCTTTGAATTAACAGTTTATTTTCGAATGTTGTTTATACGTCTAATAGTTTGTTGATCATTTATGCATTAATGTAAGGAAGCTCCACAGCATATGCTTTGCTGTCTCCCCCCTCCCCCCTTCTCTTTTCACAACATATAAATTCAGTCAGAAACAATTATTAGTTTATTTAAGTGCTAGGTATAAATATCATAGAGTTCAGACATTTCTTAATCGACTGAGGTTGCAAGAATATGTTTAATATAATAATAAGTAACTTAATAATAAGTAGGTTCTGTTATCATAATTTTCTTTGTTTTTTTTCTTTCCTTCTAATAACCAGTGAATCTATTTCCTACGTCACAAAAGTGCTTAACATCTATAATTGAAGATCCTGTTCATTTCCTTTCAAGTGCATCAGCTTTTTTTATCAGATTTGAGTGCCTTTATGGCTATCTGAATATCTGACATAAGTAGTTTTTTTGGTTTCGATATGTAAGTTCTAGATTAAAGTGAAGGTACTCATATTGATTACGTGTTGTTTTCATTTATTGCTGGAGATGCTGTGTACGTTATATCGGAATCAAAATTTTCTCTTCTTCCATGATTCTACAGTTAATAATATTAACTAATCCTTCCTTCGAATCACTATCTATAAGTGTCTGATTAACTGCCTTTGTGTGTTCGTGTCAAATGTGTCTATACATATTACCGAAGTTCTTTAATTCTTCATTTTTGTTATTGTAATATGGAATAGCAAATTCCATATTACAAATAGTAATTTTTTTTTCATAGATCTGTAGAAGTTATATTTGTTTTAGAAATGGTTGAAGGCATCACATTTATAGTAGTTCGGTAAAATTGAAAAAACTAAATAACAGCAACGTTTAAAAATAAGGTCCATTATTTAATCGTCAAAGCCAGATTACTTAGTAAAAAAGATCTGGGAAGAATTAATTCACCAACTGGAAAACAAAGTCAAAAATGGTTGTATGTTGCAAAACAAACTTACGTTCTAAGTGGACTCTATAGGTTTGATGGTGGATATGATTTAACAATCACATAGTTCCATTATTATTAAAACTTCTAGGATTTGCAACTTTTTGCGCAGTTAGGAAAGTCAACACAAAATTCATATGACCACAAAAGATCTATTAAATTACTTGACTTTACAACAATAGACTAAGTTTCTATAGCACCGGGTCTCTTGTGAGAAATACGAGTATGTTCGTAAAACCGTTAAAATTCTTAATAATGAGAAGTATAAGTACATTTATTGACCTGCCACTACAACTAACCATTCAACCAAGCCCTAGAAAATTTGATTTTGATCTATAAAATAGTTATAAATTTCGGAAAATTTCATTGATATGGATCTCAATATCTATATCCTACAAGAAATTAAAGCCAGGTCTCTCATGAAAAGAACACTTTAATAAATTCGGTAATAAATTCCATAAGAGGTTCTTAATGTTATATGTTAATAAAATCGTTTTTATTTTATTTTAATCTTATAAATAAGATAAACACTTACATAACTAATAATAATTAAAAATATTTTTACTATAATATGAAAACATTCTAACTTCAACAATTGATGCACATACTCAGACAGCAACAATGAAATGCGATTCAGATCGTGAAATTTAATATAAATAGCAGGCACGTTCGATTCTAAGTTTACAACTGGAGCTCTGATCTCGAACGGTTCAGAAGCTTGAACAAGGTAAGGATGTTCTAATGTTGTGATTCCAATTGTGTTGAGTTACGTTTTCTCGAAAGATGCATTGTTTCAGGATCGTTCCATGGCTGCACATTTGTCTTACCGAATATGATGAACAGAAGATTGCCGAAGAAATAGAAAAATGCAGCAATGAAAAATATAATACGCCATTGATCAGGATTTTTCTATAAAAAGAAAATGGAAATGACATTAAGTTAATAATATTGTCATTATTAATAACAATTATTCAAAATTACCTCGTTTGTCACAATGAAACCGACTATTAATGGAGCAATGATACTCATGATATTGGCTGCACAATTGGTGATGCCCATCAATATGCCTGCGAAATTTGGCGATAAATCAATGTGATTCACTTGGAAGCCGAGGTATGTGGCGGCATTAATACCAACAGTTATCGTTAAAAGCACTATAGCCAAATTTGTTTGGTTAGCAGCAACATAAGCCAAACCAATCAAAGAAATCATAGGAATCCAGTGTCCAATAGAATTGAATAATTTTCGACTAGCCCCAAGTGGTATGCATTGACGTTTGCTTAGCAGAGAAGAAATTGCGGAAAACGCGAAGCTAAGCAAACACATAACCAGATAAGGTAAAGCTGATAACAAAGCATTACTCTTAATATCCATGCCCAATACATTTTTCATGTACGATGGTATTTCCGTTAACAAAGTCCAGAAGCCCCAATTGTGTGTACTATGCACTAATATAAGCACTAAGAAAGGCATTGAAGTGAAGAATTTGCCCCATGGTGTTTTAACGGTTTTCTTGTTATCATCATTCTCAACATTTTGTCCTAGTGAGGTTTCAATCAACTTCTTCTCTTCATTCGAAATTGATTTAAAATCATTTGGTGAGCTTGCGCCCCACAAAATCCAAGCGGCAACCCACACCAAACCAACGGAGCCAGATATATAAAATATGCTAGGCCAGCCAAGTGATGATGAAGCGAGTAGACCACTTGATGCCAACATAATAACTGTGCCGAATTGCGAACCAGCGTAACAATAAGTACCTAAGGTACCACGTTCGTCCACCGGCGCCCATTTTGAAAGTATGGTATGTGTGGAAGGAAACACTACACCTTGACTCAATCCCTGTATAACTCGCAGAGCACATACCAGTTTCCAGTCGCCAATGTCAGCAGCTAACGGTGTCAGTACAGCACCCAATGAGCAAATAAGAATTCCGTAGAGCAACATTACCTTGCCACCAAACTTTCGTGCCAAGCTGCCGGCTGGCACTTGCGTTACAACGTAACCCCAGAAAAAGCTGCTCAGGAGCAGGGATTTCGTTTTTTCCGTCCAATTGTATTCCTTTAAATATAAATGAAAAAATTATTAAATTATTTCTTTAAAATATTTTCATCAAATAACTTACGGTAAAGTCAGGATTTGTTGAATTGCTGTCCGTCATGGCAACAATCGCCACCGATAAGTTCACACGCAGCGCATAGGCCACAGACAAGCCGCAGAAGAGCAAGAAGCATTGCAAATGACGTATGCCAAAGGTCGAATCTGAAATAAATAATTGATTAAAAATATTTTTTATTATTCAATTAGCAACTCAAAATGTTTTCTAGTTCTTTAGTACAATATTTGCCTCCTAAAGTGTTTTGTTTTTTTTTTTTTTGGTGCTTAGAATATTGATTGACTGAACTATATTTGTAAGCGATGCACTTTTCAATCGCGTTGAGCGCTTATCAATCAACGCCGGCGGCTTCGATTTGTTTGCATTCTGTATTTGTTGATGTAAGATTTAATTAAATTATTTAATATAGACACGCTCGGCATAGATTCATGTGATGTAATGCAAAGTAATTTAGGCAAAACAAGTTAAGGTTCAGCGACGTGAGGCTATCTTAGCACTCAGTTTAGACATTAAAACGTAATAAAAAATGTACATAAATATAAAAATAAAGCACTTAAAAATGTTTCGAAAGTATTTTTCCTACACGAGCGTATGACTTCTAATCGAAGCAAAAATATTTACTGTAAACCATATATGCTATATATGTATGTGATAGATCTATAGCACAAAACTAATAAATATGGCGTTTTAAAATTAGTCTACTTCCTGTGTAAACCAATCGAGATCTACGCATAAGTGGTTGACACTTGTTGTCTAGAATTTTATTACCGCAATAAATTAATACAGTACCCTTTCGGTACGTCACTTCGGTGCTGTGCTCAACAGAGAACAACTCAGCAAAGTTGAAAAACAAATTATTAATAATTATAAAAATACGACTTATTAATATATAATTAAATTTTTTTTACATAATCCATTTAACTTTCAATAAATCAAATATATTACAAAGTAAAAACAATATTTTTATAGTTATATTTTTCATTGATATTGACTTAAATATACTCGTATAACATTTTTTTTATTAATCCCAACGTAATCGTTTGTATAGATAATATATAGACAACTAATTTTGCTATCATTACCGTAAGTATATAGATTCAATTGTATTCAAAACGTAATATACTTTACAAAGAGAACTGTTGCTTCTAGTATAAATAGAAGTATATATATACTTTCTTATAGACTGGATAGTATAAAATATCCAGTGGTTAAGTGTTTTATAGTTACTGGAACTTCTAACTTTAGTTCCATATTTTTAATTTAAAATTTTTTAATAATATTTAAAAAAAAAAAACAGTTATAATATACTTAAGATAGTCTAGAAAAGAATATAAGTAGACAGTCTGGAAAAATATAAAAAAACATTTTTTTTAAAAAAAAATAAAAATATGTGGGAAAATAAGTTAAAATAATTATAAGAGAAAATGGTTTCCTGTAAATTTAATATACATATATAAATAATTTACCAATTAATTTAATAATAAGACAAACTGCTTTCAAAAATCATTTTAGTACTTTATCTATGGCTAATATATTAATCACTAGAAAGAAAAATTTTTAAAACTTTTCAACATTCATTTTACGGAAATTCGTTAAGAAAGAAAGTCCATTTTGAAGGATTAAATAACTTCGACAGAGTTGCATTGATCGGTGAGAAATCCAATGACTCTCCTCATGGCACCCTTATTGAACAGACGATATTTTTTTATCATTTTTTGCTATATTTTAAACCGTTCACCCGTTCGAGATTAACTAATTCGAGCAACAAAACTAATTTTTCCAAATTGGGACAGAAATATATTCCAGTAATCGAAAATATATCTTTATGAAGTTACCTGTAGATGACAAATTATAAACCTGTCAGAACTGCTTAATGAATTGGCGAAATTTAAATTTCGAAGCAATTTTCAAAACTCAAAATCCAAGACATAAATTTCAAGTAACGAGATACCTAAAAAATAATGGGAGTACACAATAGTCGAATTAAATTTTATGTAATGCTTGAGACCATTTGAGAAGGTGTCTGCTTCATCAAATAAAAGAAGGAGTATAATATTTATGGAAATTTTCAGAAGAACTGAATTAGTGTTCAAGAAGTAAGGTAGTTAGTTCATAGAGTACTACGGAATAATCATCTCAGCTTAATTAAAACCACTCGGTTAAAGTCTTAAAATTTCAAACTGATAGTAGAATTATTAATGAGAGATATTAGTAGAAATTAATTAATTGTATACTTTATTACTACAAACTCAGATTAAGTAATTGTGGCCTCTTATAAGACAGTATAAAGAGGGTTAAAACCAATTTTAGAGCTTCATTGCTGCTCTAAGCGCTATTTAAAGGAAGATCGGAGTATTCTTCAGTAACTACTCGTAATATGCACTTGGATACAAATCCTTAACATGTTTAATCTACGTTGTGAATGCACGAGATAATAATAAAGCAGACGTTAGGTACTTTCTCTATCTTTCTTAAAGTTACTGTAATAAAAAACATTAAATTTTTAATTATTACATACATAATAAATTAATAGCAGTCTTAGCTTTTCTTTAAAAACAAAGTAATTATCAATAATAATCGGAATTGTTATTTTTCAGTCAATTAATTTAGCCTATTAAAAAGGTTTAAAAGTGTGAGTCACTTTAAGTCTGAAAGCTGACTTAAGCCATGCTTAACCCGTCAACTTTACTGATTTCATTCATAGTTAAACCGGTGTTAAGATCTGAATTAAATTATGACTGTGAGTTTGATACTTAATATTTGGTAATTAATTTTATTAACAATCGTTTTTATAAGAACTAGTAGATACTCGTGTGATAAAAACCGTAGAAATAAAAGAGTCTCAATTGCACAATACTACGAAGATCACCCAGATTATTTCAATATAGAGAAAATTTCATTAACTGTAGTCTAAACTCTTACATTGCTAAAAATACTTGAAACACCTATATTTTCTATTTACATTTAAATATTGATAAGCTTAGTTGTTTAAATGTTTATGAAACATTAAATTAAATTCAAAAAAAATAATTTATATAAAAAGTCTTTATTTAACTAATACTTGATTATTCAGTATTGCTCTGGAAAGTCTTCCTCTGTGAGAAAATGAGTCGATGTAATTACTCCTTAAAGTCGTTGTCTCTTCCTTTTGCTTTTAATCTGATTAACACCAGAGAATTGCTGTTCTGATCTAGTAAAAAGCAGTTAACATATAAATTAGAATTTCTCAACATTTGTTAGGTGATCACCTCTTCGACATTTGATTTCCAAGGTCATATAAGTTTCAAAAATGTGTTATTATTCTTATCTTTCTCGAATATTTTATTAATTTTTGTTTACTTCTTGTGTCTTCAATTAATAAGGTTATTTGTTCTTAGAACACTATGGAATGATTTATTTCCACGCTCTTCTAATTGAAAGCGATGAAAGCGATATTTATATTTTTTATATTATTTAATATTTATAAATAGTACTTCATTTCACATGCGCCACTAATCAAACTTTTTTAATAACAAACCTTTGATTGATCCTTAAAGAGATAACGAAACTATTATTTAAAAGAGTCTGGGTCTTTTTTATAAAAAAAAATTATTTATAAAAAAATACCTATATAAAGGTTAATGTGCATCTATATAAAACATGCGATATCTGATAACTTTTTCAGTATTTTGTATGATCTGATGTGATCTGTTGCAGTATTTAATTAAGATTACCAAATTTTTATCTGTTTTTGTATAGTGACCTTTCTTGACGAGATGGTTTGACTTAAACTTTTTGGTATTACTTTTCTCATAATAATTAATAATATATGTAACACAATTTGCAATAAATTAAATGAAGTGCAAAGTAAACATGTTTCATCAGTTTTTTTTTAATACTGATAAGAATTGTTTGTGTTCTGTAATATATTTTCTATATTTAAATGTGATTTTGGTATAAGGAATTTTCCACAACGTTACGACTAACACACATATCTTCGTATAATTCGTGCCTTCGTATTTTTTATGAATTTTTTTTAGCATACTTAACATACGAAAGGACACTGTCTTATTTAATTGGACCAAAGTAATAAGAATACATATATATGTATACTGATAGATTCTATAGTGTAAACATTGTTAATTCTCTAATTAAATAACTGGTTATTAAAGAAACTATAGCAACCACAATATTCACAATACTTAACAATAAAGTTCTGTATGGAGTTAACTGTGTCTCGTCGGATATGTCCCCAGTTGCGGAATCAGGTAATGCTCAGCATTATGCATTGTTAGTCAAATATAAAATGTCACTCGCCACTGCAAATACCGGTAAATACCGGTTTGTAGATGTAATTAGTGATCATATCTCTTAACTAACAAATCGTCATTTAGGCGACAAGCCCTATACTCTAGACACAAATTAAAAAAAAATTAAAGCGTTGTCTGTATACACTTGGAAAAATAATTTGGTTGATTTAACCAGTTTTGAAATAAATTTCAGATCAAATATTCTTACTCGACGCATCATGTTGGTTTAACCACATCTTCTTTACAATATGAGTCTGACAAAATAATCAGGTCAATTTAACTAGAATGTGTAGATGTATATTTTTCTGAGTGTAGGACATCTATATAGTGTTTAAGGGTTTATGTAAATTAACATTTGAAAAATCACGGTCACCTTAAAAATTCTATAAAAAATGACGTTGTTTACATATATATAATTTTAGTAAGTCTGGGTTAAAACATTTTATCATTGCAAACTTGGTAGCCATGGATTAGTGCCATTATATTAAGCTTGGTACTTTACATAGTCCTTTAAAATTTTGCCATGTTTTTGTTGGATATGGTAAAGAAGGATAGTAATAAAATAAACCGAAATTAGTCATTTTTTTAGTATGTAGTTTCTACCTATCAACTGAATTACACCCTATTATATCTTTATAACTTGTTATATGAAGTCAAAAATTAACCAATTAATACAAGGATACTACAAATATCCTTATGTAAGATCCTTGTAGGAATAGAGAAAATATGTAATGAATTAATTCTGTTATAAGTGTTCTTAACAAAAATTTTCGTTTTTTTCTCCACCTATTAGTATCTGATTGGAAATTGCTTTTAAACGTGTAACAGTTAATGAAATTATAGAATTATGACAAAAA